TTAGCAGATGACTCGGAGCTAAATGCACTCTTGAAAGTTTTCCGTAGGGGTATAAGGTGTTACTATGCTAAACCTCCTGTGCAGAGTTGCCTTTCTTATCTTCGTGTAAAAAATGGCCCAACTTCAGGGACCCCCAACCTCTTCACTCAGGTATTTCAGACAGAGCAGCCCCTTCAGGGTCAAGGCAGCATTAAACAGAAGCACTTACATGTTTTGGTAGTTGATGCTACAATGCCTAAGGAATTCTTGGTCCCTGGAAGGAACTTTGGTGAAACACAGGGGAACATCTGGCTTTTCATCCGGATTCATGTGCTAAGAAATAGATCATCTAATCTCCAAGAAGTGATCCCTAAGGAGAAGATGCATTTAGCACTTGTGTTACAGTTCCTGTAGCTGGCTAGAAAAGGAGATCATCCGTTTCCACTCATTGATTTTTGGACTGCTGCTGGGCTTTATCCAGGAAGAATTAAAAGCAGTATAAAAAGAGACACTATCTCTCAACCAGTATCCAAAGTAAAGCCAAGGTGTAAGGTAAAACCAAGATCCCCCTAATCTGTGTGGATTAGCAATCCTCTTCCTTTTGGACTTTAGCTTTGTTTGAAGGAACAACCTGAATCACAGTATATTCTCTTTATCTGAACTAGTGTAATCTAAATGAATTCACATTAAAATAGGAGGTTTTGAAGCCCACATACTCCACATTCTGGCTAATACCTCTAGTTATTAATTTATTTTTACTGCTAGAAACATTGTGTACATTTATCAGATATGGCTCTTTCAGGATTGTACTAATTGCCAAGCACAGGATATACGTATGAACAACCCTGCAGCAAAGCAAATGATGGTTCTGGGTGATCAGGGAAGTCTCTGCTGCCTGCAAGATTAGCTGGCAACTAGAATACTTTTCCTGAAATAACCTCTTAACTGCACTGACTTGTAATTGAATTAAGTATATGCTTCGTCAAAAGTTCTTCCTTAGTGCGTTTTCCCATTACTCATAGGAAAAGAAAAAAGTAATTAAAGGGTCCTTGTTCCCTTTTTGTCCTTGTTTTCTGTCACTGTGAGTCCATGAATGTCAATGCTATTTTTCAGTTTATCCTGCTAAAGACAGCCAGGCTGAGCTTATGAAGACTGCAAAATAAAATGCGGCTCCTGCCACATCACAGTTGGTGTGTATTAACTGTAGTGGTAACTTCTGATTTCGCAAAGCAGGCCCAGTGTTTGATTAGTGCAAAGATAAATAGTTACACCTGTAGAATGAATACACTGAGAACAATATGCTTTCACAGTTGTGGTAAAAACACAGAAAATATATGCATTTATGTTTCAATACCCAAAAGTACCTACACCTCCAGCAGGCTTTTACCTTCTGTGGCTGGTTTGAGGTGTCAGACATGTTTTAGCTCCTATCATGAGAGAAAGTATCAGTGGAGATGTTTACCTTCAGAGGCATTCATATATATGAGCTTTCCATCTGGAAAAAATGCACATTGCCTTTAAAACGATGCAATTATTTCTGGTGATGCAACAATGAATTGCAGCCAGCCTTATTTTAGACTGCCTATGCGGAAATGGAGTATGAGAACTTGTGAAAATCTTTATGTCCTTTGGGTGGCGCCTGCTGCAAGGCGTTTGGTTTCTTTCCTCACACAGCAGAGCTAAGAAAGTTTCCAGCCTGGTGCTGGCTGGGTGGACTTTAAGCCCCTGCCTACTTTGGATACTGCTGGTGTGACCCCAGAGCATCAGGGGTATCCGGTATGCAAAGAGGGAACAGAGAAGAGAAAATGAGTAGCATCTATTTATAAATGCAGTTTGCATTTGGTAACTGTTATTTGCCTTGCTGGTTTTTGGTTTTATATGGCTTTAAAAAAAAAAGAAAAAAAGACTATAAACACACTTTATTAGTTATTAAGTTTATTGGTTTTTAAATACTGTTGATCTGTACTGACATGAATAGAACAAGTCCTTACGTAGTCTCTGAGTTAAAAGAGAGAAAACATTTATTTTACTTTTTTTTTCAGAGCGTAGTAGAATGTTTACATTACCTTAACATACACTGATAGACTAAGTGGTAAGAACAGGTTCTGAGAAAGTCTTTGAAACTATAATTAGAGATCAAGAGCTGGCACACCTGTTCTAGGGTGTATGCACGTGGGCTGTTAGATGTTGAGTCAGATCTGATTTTCACCCATAAGGAGCTGGGGTGGGTGGGGAATGTGAGGTGTGAGCACAGCTTGGTTCCCTTCCCACCATACGTGTCAGACCAGTAGAGTCAGTAAAGGATGTTGTAACGTGCTGCTGTATGTGCTAACGCCGTGCTGCCAACACCTTCAGCTCAAGAGATTTGAAAGCTCTGTCAGAGCTTGGCTTGCTAGAATTGTTTTAGAATTGCTTCAGTTTATACATGCTGGTGTTCAGCTCTGCCCACAGTCTCCCTGTTTTTGTAATCTAGAGGAAAAATGTTGTATGTCATAGAATCACAGAATGTTTTGGGATGGAAGGGACCTTTAAGGGTCATATAGTCCAATCCCCCTGCAGTGAGCAGGAACATCTTTGACTAGGTCAGATTGCTCAAAGCCCTACCCAACCTGACCTTGAATACCTCCTTTCATTGTAGGTGAGGTGTTCCATCCCTCTGATCATTTTTTGTCACCCTCCTTTGGACCAGCTTCAGCAGGTCCATCTCTTTCCTGTGCTGAGGACTCCAGAGCTGAACACAGCACTGCAGGTTAGACCTCACCAGACCAGACCAGAGAGGAAGAATCATCTCTGTTGGCCTGCTGCTCATGCTTCAGGATACAATTGGCTTTCTGGGCTATGAGTGCACATCACCAACTCATGTGCAGCTTTTTATCCACCAGTACACCCAAGTATTTCTCTGCAGGGCTGCTCTCAATCCCTTCATTTCTCAGCCTGTATTGATAACAGAGGTTGCCCCAGTCTGGGTGCAGGCACTGATATTTATAATATATCACGCAACAAAATGAAAGGTGATAAGCACTTCTAAGCAGCTGTGATGTACCAAAGTACAATTATGTAACAAGGTTAGGTGTAAGCTCACTTATTCATCAGTTTATAAAATCAGTCTCTCAGAAAAGAAAGCACACCCAAAACTAGAAAGGAAACACTAGGACTTTATTATTCAACATAGAAGACTTTATTTACAATTAGACTTAAAGAGAGTTTGAGCTTTATTTTATTTTTATCGAGTTCATTTATATTCTTAATGAAAGTATATACTGCACTGTTTGAACAAGTGTAAATACTTAACATTAGCCCTAATAGTGTGAATTAACAATAACTGTAGCTGATGTTTTGGACAAAATAACTACTAATTATAATTCAAGTGCAGGCTAGGTGCTGAACATAGTTTAAAACTTCAAACCTGCATTGAGATCAATGCAATTACACATATGAACAAACAAATCTGTGTGCATGAAAAACTGGGCCCTGAGACATTTAAAACCATGGCCTGAGATGCTGCTGTTGGAGCACCACATAGCACTAAACAACACTAGGACAGCAAACACTAACTTGTTGACAATGGACTTGAAGCCAAAGAAGATGAAATTGAAAAGCTAGTGCATCAAAAAACAACAGAAGAATTGCTGTTGTTCCTTTTGTGAAAAGAACTTACTGCTAAATTTGAGCACAAAAGTAGAGTTTTATTATAAAAACTTGGTGTCAGATCTTGAACGACAGCAGACTTGTGCTTGTTTCAAAGGAGAAGGTGTCTTAATGATTTTAGCTGTCCTTGTAGCCTTTTTGACCAGTCCATAGGACTCTATGGATGCCTTCATTGGTGTCACACTGTCCCCAAACTAATAAGGGAACAGAGCATTATATATGGCACCAGCAACTATGCAGACACGAGAGAAAGGTTTTGGGTTTCATTGACTTGCTAGCACCAGCAAGTAATCAAATGCATGGGTAAGGTGAGCAAAGTTTCCCTTGAGTATCATGCCTACTTCACATCTCTCACCCTGTTACTTTGCATTTCCAGCTGACAGCTGGAAAAAAACACAGACTGTAGCCATGTACCACATAGACCTTGCCTTCAAGAATAATCTGTTGAGATTACTGTGATTCATTGTCTCCACTGATAGTTACAAAACTTTGCTCACAAGGAACATAAGATTAAAACAACAGCATTTAAATCTGTTATGCTTTATATCCAAAGGGTGAAAATACCTTACTAATGATACCTTGCCAAAGATATTGCCCTTTACTAGCAAGACAAACCTTTCTGGTTTGAAGTCCATTGTAGCATTATTTCTAAACACCAGGCTATGACAAGCTGGTCATGTTTCATTTTCCTTTTTCTTTGCAACTCTTATTTAAGGGGACAAAATTCCAGGAAGAAATCTTAGAAAGTGCTGAACGTAGGCTCTTATTCTAAATTCAGTGGGTCCACAGGAAAAAGCGAGACCCCACAACACTCAATATCTGCCCCACTGACTCTCATTTCTGAGTTAGGGCATTGAGTTTAAATGAAAAAGTGAACTGTTTACGCGGATGGTGGTATTTACTACCTGTCTACAGGCTGATGCACCTCATTAAACAAATGATTGCACAAATTTCCTTGTGGCAGGTGGTTTATCAGTAAAGAATTGGGGCTACCTGTTTTCATTTATATTCTTCTATGGCAAGGGAGTAGAACCCTCTGATATTTGATCAAAACCATTATCTCAGTCTTTTCTGTGCCTGAAGCATTCTGGAATATTTTCTCTTGACCTTAAAGGTGACAGATCATTCTCTAAGGGAGGCCGTGGGCAAAGTAATGTGAGGGCAGAGCAGAGGCTGGTGTTCAAGCAAGAGCCAGAAAGAAGAGCATGCATGGAGGCAACAGAAAGAGCGGTGAAGCAGGTTGGGAGTTAGGGAGTCAGTCAAATTACTAAACAGCTGTTGAGCCAAATGTTGATGAGCTCCATCAACATATGAATGACTGCTGTGTGTCTATGAGCTATCTCCATATAAAATATATAAACCACATATCTTACTAAGTCTTTTATTAACTTCATGTATGACAGTTAGTAACTTTACATAATAAACTTCACATTCAACACAATTTACACCCCTAAATAGAGGACAGAAACCAATTGTATTGCAGCAGCTTCCATTCCCTGAAGGAACAGAAAGAAACGTTGCAGTGAGAGCTTCTAGAGCACAGCATGAGCTCGAAGGTGGTGTCATTCCCAGTCTGTACTCAGAGACAGAATATCAGCAAACAGCTTTCATTTGTCTTGCAAATCCCAGAAGAAAAAAGTAGCAAGCTGCGTAAATGGCAGATGGCGGACTAAAGTCCAACTGCGCCTCAACTTCAGTCTGCTTGAATGTCATTTAAAATTTGTAACAAGGTTCAAATAATTGGTTATTTCAAAGCATAGTTTCAGTGATGACCTTTCTAGTGATGTCAGAAGTCTGGACCTTTGGAAACATCAGCTCATTTGGGTTGGTGAGCTGGTCTTCTCAAAATGGAAAAGCATGTTGATTTCCATAGCAGGTGAACTCACTGTGCCTTGAATCATACCTTTTGTCTCTGAATTTTAACGTGCTGCTTGGCTGAAATTTCCATTACACATTGACTACCTCAGAAGTATTTTGTTACCTGTAGTGAAATAAAATCAGATGAGGTAAGTATTCATCTTAAAAATGTCTCTTTGTTACAGCAGACTTCTCACCATAACATTAATGTCTCTGCACTTCTTTTAAAACACTCTGAAAATGTCTTTGTTCCCCTCGATGTCAGTGCATTAATCTACCACTTGATCATTCTACCCATGATGGGAGAATATTTAGTCTTAGTGGGCTAGATCTGTTCAGGAGATGTTTAAACTAACATGACAGTACTGCATGACTGAGAAAAAGAAGTGAGAAATTCTATCCAACACTCAATAAAAAACGTCCTTCACATGGGTTCTGCAGACCTCAGACAGGGGTATGTGCTGAAGGAGCACACGAATCTGCAGCCATGTGGCCTCTGTCCCAGAGGAGTACTAGAGGGCAATTCTGAACAGTTTAGCACTCTTGGATAAAATGTCTATTTTCATAAACTCATAGCAATCCTGTTTAGGGATAAAAAAAATGTTGGCCTTTTGATCCAGTTCCAGATAACCACTTCTGAGTGTGTTGAGACTGAAAGATTAAGGCTGGGAAGAGAATTTGAAAACATTAGCAAAATTTTCTGGATGATTTCCCACAGAACAACTGCTGAATTTACTAGCACTCAAAAAAAGTAATACCAGCTAAATAAGTAATGATTCTCAACTTCTTGAAACTCTGAGGAAAAGTTACTGCTGAGGACTGAGCCTTTGGTGCTTACTTACTTATTTTAGTTTCTTCGATCTGCATATGAAATAGGAACCCATGAATGCGAGGAACAGCACAGAACCTGAGATAATTAACACCATCTGCAGCATACTCAGCATCTGGACCCGACTGGTGACTTTATTTCTGAACATTTCTGCTTTTGCGTCCCCAATAACAGCAGTCTGAAACAGAAAAATATCAGTGAAATGTAAGTACACAGATCCTCATTGCTGAATGTATTCTTGGCACGTGCAAATCACAGCATATGTTTAATTGCCCAATTTTCGAGCACCAAGATTAAAAAGTGAGGTTGTGGGCTTTGGGGTTTGTTTGTTTGTTTGTTTGTTTTATAAACAGTGAAGATTGGTAGACAGAAAATATACTAACCTCGTTTAGCCAAAGAAGAGGAAAAACATAAGGTTTTTTAACCTTTGATAAAGCTCTGAAATGAGAAAATAATTACAGCATGTTAACTTTAGTTTGGTCCATAAGCCCAGTCTGTACATAAGCATTTTTCTTATCCTCTAACTACATTTCTACCTTCCAGATGTACCTTTTCAGTATAGTTTTGGACTGAAAGAAAAAATAAGCCTACAATTAATAACTGCCATTTCATATATTGGGCAAACATCTTTTTCTATCTAATCTTCCACATGTGGGTGGTCAGAAAGAAGAAAGCCTGGACACAGCTGGGTGTTTGTAGTAGGGCGTGAAGATCTGTGTGGTGTCCACCTGCCAGAGGTGCAGGATGCCAAAGTGCACATCTGTACATGTACATTTGGGCCAACGAAGGAGAAAAGAAACAACTAAAGACCAATCAGCCCTTGTGATAAAATTCATTCAATGACAGAGCACACATAAATTCTCTCTCTCATTGGACTTATTACGGAAAATGCATTTTACCTTATAGTTCATCCTCATGGCCCCCATTTGGGTTTTGTAAGAATGTTATTTTTAAAAACATGTTGCCTCGTGAGCTTCTGTGAGGAAATCACATGTGTTTTGAAATACTCAAGCAGCAAGCAATACCTTGCTCAAGAAGGTTTGATCTTTTGCTGAAATTTGTGTTCTCTGAAGAGTCATTACTGAAATTTTTGCAAGAATGACAAAAATACTTTGGGAAAGTATTTTTATTCCTTCTTTTCCCAGTCATATCTACTCTCATAAATTAATCAGGCATCTGGAAACAAAATATGAAGCAGTACTTACGCAATTCTTGATGTAGGCTGCACGAGGAGGTTTACTTGTAGCCTTTTTGCAAACTGTAGCGTAAAACCAGTAATCTAAAACCACAAAAAAACCCCAAACAACATTAATTTAAAGTTTTGAATTAGATGTGTCAAAAAACACTTGGGTATTATTTTATCCTTATGTTTTGAAGGAATCAACTTTTTAATGAAATTTTAATATTTCTAGGAGTCTCTCATTTCTCATAGAAGTTCTGATTTTGTGGCTTTACAATAGTTACTTCGGTAATTTGCAGTTAAAACTGAAGAGAAAAAAAAGGTTAAAAAAACTGAATCAGTCATGAAACATTTCACATAAAAGTATGTTTAAAATGGTTTTGTCCACCAGAAATTAGCTTAATTTTTCATAACAGAGAATGTTTAACTTGCTAAGGCCAAAAACAGAGCACACATAAAAACAAAGGTCAGGTTTTTTATTCCTCTCCTTCTTTTCCCCTCTGTCTTCCACAGAAACAAGACAGGGCATGATCCTTGACAATTTCATATCAGATTTAGGAAATTCTGGTTGATATCTCTGTTCCAAATAAGGTGAAGTGAAGATTTAAGTTAGAACTCATTACTAAAGTTACAAAACTTAACTGTCAAATTATATGACTAAAAATATTTTAGGGAGAAATCCTGAATTGTACCTAGGTCTGTTCTAGACTAGCCTGTTCAGACTTCTAGCAATTTTCTTGGAAATAATTT